TGATGGTTCTCCCCTGGCCCTGATGGCTCTGCTGGCCCTGATGGCTCTCCCCTGGCCCTGATGGCTCTGGTGGCCCTGATGGTTCTCCCCTGGCTCTGATGGTTCTCCCCTGGCCCTGATGGCCCTGGTGGCTCTTCCCCCGGCAGTGTGGCGATGACCTGCGGCAGGACATGCTGACGCTGCAGATGATCCGCATCATGAACAAGATCTGGGTGCAGGAGGGGCTGGACATGCGCATGGTCATCTTCCGCTGCTTCTCCACCGGCCGTGGGCGAGGTGAGACGGAGTTTGGGTGTCCCCAGGGGTCCCCAGTGGGGCTGGGGATGGCCCGGGACATCCTGGGGTCTGGTCCCACCAGCCCATCCCTGTCACGCAGTGGTGACGGGTGAGGAGCGGTTGGGTTAGTGACAGAGGGGGTCGGGGTCGTGGTTCTTGGGGTTGAAGGGTCTCACCCTGCTGTCCCACCTGCCAGGCATGGTGGAGATGATCCCCAACGCCGAGACCCTGCGGAAGATCCAGGTGGAGCACGGCGTGACCGGCTCCTTCAAGGACCGGCCGCTGGCGGACTGGCTGCAGAAACACAACCCCGAGGAGGATGAGTACGAGAAGGTGAGGAAGAATCCCCGCTCCTTCGTGTCCTCCATTCCAGGGACCAGCCCCTTGCTTCCATGCTTTCTCCATGTCCTTCCCTCTTCCTTACAGGCTGTGGAAAACTTCATCTACTCCTGCGCCGGCTGCTGCGTGGCCACCTACGTGCTGGGCATCTGCGACAGGCACAACGACAACATCATGCTCAAGACCACGGGCCACATGTTCCACATCGATTTCGGCCGGTTCCTGGGCCACGCCCAGATGTTCGGCAACATCAAGAGGTGAGAGAGGCCCCTGGGACCTCCTGCCCTCCTCCCTGCTGAGGGGGAAGCTCCCTGTCCTTGTCCTGGTGGTGGGTGACCTCTCCTTCATGTCCTGGTGGTGGGTGACCTCTTCCTGTCATCCCAGTGGTGGCCACAGTGACCTCTCCTTCTCCTTGTCCTGGTGGTGGGTGACCTCTCCCTCTCCACGTCCTGGCAATAGGTGACCTCTCCCTCTTCTTGTCCTGGTGGGAGGTGACCTCCTTCTGTCCTTGTCCTGGTGGTGGGTGACCTCTCCCTGTCATCCCAGTGGTGGCCACAGTGACCTCTCCTTCTCCTTGTCCTGGTGGTGGGTGACCTTTCCCTTTCCTTGTCCTGGTGGGAGGTGATGTCCTTCTCTCCCTGTCCTGGTGGTGGGTGACCTGTCCCTCTCCTCATCCTGGTGATCAGTGACCTCCTCCTCTCCATGTCCTGGCAGTGGGTGACTTCTCCCTCTTCTCATCCTGCCCCCCACCCCAGCTCACTTTGTCCCTCCTGTCCCCCAACACAGGGACCGTGCGCCATTTGTCTTCACCTCGGACATGGCGTATGTCATCAACGGTGGGGACAAGCCCTCCAGCCGCTTCCACGACTTCGTGGACCTGTGCTGCCAGGCCTACAACCTGATCCGCAAGCACACCCACCTCTTCCTCAACCTGCTGGGGCTGGTGAGAGCCAGGGGGACAGAAAATTCCCCTCAGCGCGGCACGGGGGTCCCTTTGTCCCCTGTGCTCACCCCTGCCCTCCCTGCCAGATGCTCTCCTGTGGCATCCCCGAGCTCTCTGACCTGGAGGACCTCAAGTACGTTTACGATGCGCTGAGGCCGCAGGACTCTGATGCTGATGCCACCACCTACTTCACCAGGTAGGGGACACCAGGGGAGGGTGACACAGCAGCGGCTGGAGGCTCCCTGGGACAGTGGTGTCACAGACATGTTTTATGAAAAATCCTTTCCTTAGGATTGTTTCTCCTGAGAAGCTGAGAGGCTTCAGGAACAAAATTATGTAAACATTGATTATCTGCTGCTGTGGAATGCAACAGGTGCATCTGGGATTGGTCTCATGTGTTTGTTTCTAATTAATGGCCAATCACAGTCCAGCTGTCTCAGACTCTCTGAGAGTCAGGAGTTTTTGTTATTCATTCCAATTTTTTCTTTGCCTGCAAGCCTTCTGATGAAATCCTTTCTTCTCTTATTTTAGTATATATTTTATAGTATATAAATATTATATATATAATATTATATATATTAAAAGACATAATATTTATATATTATATATTATCTATAGTATATATTATATTTTATTATATATATTATTATATATAATATATAATAGTTATTATTATATTATTATTAATATATATTTAAATATATATAATACATATTGTATAAACCTATAATATAAACATACTATATTTTTAAGATAATATATATCATAAAATAATAAATCAGCCTTCTGAAACGTGGAATCACATCCTTGTCTCTCCCCTCTTCCTGGGGCTCCTGTGTACGCCGCCACACGGTGGCACTGAGCGGGCGGTGGCCTCGTTGCAGGTTGATCGAGTCCAGCCTGGGCAGCGTGGCCACCAAGCTCAACTTCTTCATCCACAACCTGGCGCAGATGAAGTTCACGGGCTCGGAGGCGCGGCCCACGCTGTCCTTCGCGCCCCGCACGCACACCCTCAAGACGTCCGGCCGGATCCGCGACGTCTTCCTCTGCCGCCACGAGAGGGTCTTCAACCCCAGCAAGGGCTACGTGAGTGGGGACAGCTGGGGACAGGCCCCAGGCTGGGCTCGGGGCGCCCCAGCTCCGCCATCCCACGTCACGGCCCTGCCTCTTTGCAGACCTACGTGGTGAAGGTGCAGAGGGACAACCCCGGCGAGGTCACCTTCGTGCAGCGCACCTTCGAGGAGTTCCAGGAGCTGCACAACAAACTGCGCCTCCTCTTCCCCTCCTCACTGCTGCCCAGGTAGCCCTGAAGCCCCTCAGGACCTCCAGGGACTCCCCAAAAGCCCCTGGGGCCCCGCTGAGTGTCTGTCTGTCCCCGCAGCTTCCCCAGCAGGTTCATCATCGGGCGCTCGCGGGGCGAGGCGGTGGCCGAGCGGCGCAAGGAGGAGCTCAACGGCTACATCTGGCACCTGATCCATGCTGCCCCTGAGGTGGCAGAGGTGGGGACACAGGGTGGGGGCTGCGGGGAGGTGGGGACAGCGCCAGGGCCACCAGCGAGGTGGGGAAACACCTGGGGACAGCACAGCTCGTAGAGCATCAACGTGTGCCCCACGTAGAGCATTGGCGCATGCCCTGGTTTTGGATGGCGGGTTGGTTGTCACTGCTGTCACCACTAATGTCACCTCCTGACCCTGCAGTGTGACCTCATCTACACTTTCTTCCACCCCCTGCCCCGGGATGAGAAGGCGGCTGGAACCAACCCGACCCCAAAGCCGGCAGGTGGGGAAGGGGTGATTTTGGGGGGTGACTTTGGGGGTCGATGGCAAGGGGTGACATCAGGGGTGTCCCATCCCTCCTGTCCCCCTCTCCAGACGCCACATGGGCTCGATCCCTGGGCAAGGTCGGCGGGGAGGTGAAGCTCTCCATCTCCTACAAGAACAACAAGCTCTTCATCATGGTGATGCACATCCGAGGGCTGGTAGGACCCACGGCACCCACGGGAGCGGGGCTTGGGGGGCTGTCCCCTCCCTGTGCTCACAGCGTGTCCCCAATGTGCCCCGCAGCCACCCCTGCAGGACGGCAACGACCCCGACCCCTACGTCAAGACCTACCTGCTGCCCGACCCCCAAAAAACCACCAAGAGGAAAACCAAAGTGGCCCGGAAAACCTGCAACCCCACCTACAACGAGATGGTAGGAGGAGGGACAGGGACGGGTTTGGGGTGTCCCCAGGGGTGGCCGTGGCTGAGGGTTTGTCCCCGTTGTGTCCCACAGCTGGTGTACGACGGGATCCCCCGGGGGGACCTGGAGCAGCGGGAGCTGCGGCTGAGCGTGCTGAGCGAGGAAGGATTTTGGGAGAACATCCTGCTGGGGGAGGTTGGGATTCGCCTCCGCGACCTGGACCTGGCCCAGGAGAAGATGGGCTGGTTCGCCCTGGGCTCCCGCGGCCACGGCACCCTCTGAGTCCCCAAAAGTGGCTTCTTTTTTAAGTTTACCTTGTGTCAAGGGAGCAACGCGGGGAGGGCGGGGCGTGGGGCGGTTCGTGGGGTTATTTCTTCCTTTGGGATATCCGTATTTTAATTTTTTTAATAACGAGTAGCGTGAGCACCGGGGCGGAGGGGAGGGCGAGGTAGCACAGGGAGAGTTGGGGGGCGTGTGGACCCCTCCCACCCCAGGAACTGGGCAATTCCCACCGCGGGGAATTCGCTCCCAAAGGAGAGCGGCGTGGCGAGTTGCCCGTCCCGTTGCTGTCCCCCTGCGCTGGGGACATCTGTGTCCTTCCCGCCTGCCACCCGGCCCCGGGTGCGGGCTTGGTGCCTGTGGTGCTTTGTTTACAGCGACAGCTCCGTAAACGGACGAAATGTTTCTCAGGATCGAGAATAATTAACTTTAACCTTTATATTAAAAGTTTTAAATATTGGATCTGGTGGCTGTTGGGGCGTGGGGGGGGGCGGTCTGGCTTCTCGAGGGTGAGGGAGTTGGGAATCTACTCCCATAGGGCCCTCCTGCCTGGAACACGGGAATGGGATCAAAAAAGGGGATGAAAGGCAGGGGTGGCACATCTGCCCCCTGCCTGCGCATCTGGGCACACATCTGTCCGCACTTCTGCACCTCTGCCCACCGCACCCTCCAGAAAGCAGAGCCGTGGGGGTCTGGGGTCTGCCTCCCTCAACCCCCACCCTCCTCCAGCTCCTTTCCCAGTGCGTCCCTCACCCAGCGCTGTCCCTGGGGCTCACAAAGTGTTCCCAAAGTGTCCCCAAAGCGTCCCCTGACCACCCCCGGGTGGGCTCGGGGTGCCCCCGCTCCCCCCAGACCCCGCCGCGCCGCCAGGGGGCGCTGCCGTGCGCCGCGCTCTGGCTGATGCAATCCCAGCGGGGCGTGGCCACACGAGGGAGTGGGCGGGGCAGAGAAGGTGACGCCCCGCCCCTCCCTCTGGGGACGGGAAGCGTTGAGGCGGCGGCGCCGCCATTTTGTGCTGAAGCTGCCTCAGGATGGAGTCGAAACCCGAACCGGAGCTGCCCGCCGCCCGCCGAGCCTTCAGACTCACCGCCCCGCCACGGAGCGCCGCTCCACACACCCCTCCGCACCGCTGGCAGCGCTGAACGGCCTCATGGAGCACAGCGGACGCGAACGCGCCGGCCCCGGCTTGGGATGGGCCCGACTGGGCCTGGCCGGGGCCTGGCCGAAGCTGGCGGGGCCCAGCGCGGCGCCCGCCGGCGGCTCGTCCCAGGCGAGCCCGCCCTTCTCGTGGCTGCGCGTGGTGTCGCAGCTGCTGTCGCCGCTTCCCGCCCTCCTGCAGCGGCTGCTGCCCGGCGCCGCGCTGAGCTCCGCGCTCTGCCCCGCCAAGGCACCGCCGCCGCTGGTGCTGCTGCCCAGGGCGGACACCTCGCTGGACTGGACCGAGGAGAAACTCCCGGAGAAGCGGCCGCAGGGCGGCCCGGAGCCGCAGGCGGGGCTGTGGGGAGCAGGGCTGGTAAGGAACAGTCTGGGAGCCCTTCCCATGGATTTGTACGTGCTGGGCTTGGAGCAGGGCAAGAGCCACCTGCCGCAGCCCCTGCGAGCCGAGGGCTTGCCCGAGGTTGAATTCCTGCGCAGCAAGCGCCTGGCGTTCCTCCAGCGCTGGCATCTGCCCGTGCCCGACCCCGACCACGGCTACCACAGCCTGGAGGAGGAGCAGCAGCAGCAGAACAGGGGCGTCTGCCGGGAAATTGGGGAGCAGCGCGGCAATAGCGGGGATTTAGAGCAACCCGAGGGTGTGGGGGGACAGCCCGGGGGTGTCCCCGAGGAGCAGGAGGGGCTCCGGGGTGCGGCTGAGGAGGAGGAGGAAACCTTGGCTGGAGAGGAACGGGAGGACTCGGAAACAGAGCAAGACTTCCCAATTTCCACCAGACCTGCCTGTGCGAATAAATTAATCGATTATATCATCGGGGGAGTATCCAGCGGGGAGGAGAGTGAGGGTGAGGAAGACTGGGATGATGGTGATGATGATGATGAAGATGATGATGATGGGTTTGACAGCGAAGAGCTGCCCTCGGACTCAGACGCCGGCAGCCAGGACGGGGAGAGGCTTCATCTGTGGAATTCCTTCTACAGCTTGGATCCCTACAACCCTCAGAACTTCACAGCCACCATCCAGACGTCTTCCAGCGAGCCGGGAAAGGAAATGTCGGACGTGGAGGAGGAGGAGGAGGAGGAGGAAGACTCGTGGGCAGAGTCCTCCGAGGGCTCGCCTAGTTCCGAGGAGGACGAGTGGGACTGCGAGAGCGTGGATGAGGCGGAGAGCTTGAAGCTCTGGAACTCGTTCTGTAGCTCGGACGATCCCTATAACCCTTTAAATTTCACGGCGGCCTTTCAGACAGCGGAGAGAAAAGGGACGCCGGGTTTCCAAGGGGCGGAGAGGGCGATTTCTGCCCCCTCGGAGCGTTTCAGCGTATGTAGGGTACAGCTGGAAAAACACAACTGCGGGAGCGCTGAACCGGGCCAGAGCAGGGAGAAAACGGCGAGTTCCAAGCGGAAAAAGGTAGAGAGATTTTATTCATATTTTTGTGTTTCGGGATTGTTGTTGAGATTAAAAAAAAATCAAACAAACAAACCCACACTGCGCCAAGTGGGGGTGAGGTCAGCGTTCCGTATGTGCTGATAATTTCCCTGGAATGCTGCGCCTCATCCTCGGCACGTGATGGGAAATTCTGAGACTCATTCTGAGACTCGCTGACGAGGATTTTTTTTTTTCCTCTAGACTCAAAGTTCCATTTTCCGTTTCGAGTTGTAATTTCTCTTCTGTTCCTCTTGTGGTTTCGACGTCAGGGAAACTCCAGGCCTGGGGTGGAAATTTTTTCCCTGAAAAACTCCAGGGCTGTGAGGAGTTTCCCTGAAAAGCACCAGTTTAAGTTATTTAGGACCCGAAACCGAAAGATTTTTTAGGATTTTTTTATAACCCAGGTTGGCTTGTTCAGTGCTCTGGACTAAACTGAGGTTCCCATATAAATTATCCCAATATTCTCATTTCCGTTTAAGATAGTATTAAATATTATAATATTTAAATTATATTTTTTATAAATAGAATATTTCTATTCATATCTAGACAATAGGTATAAACAATATTTCAATTCTACAGTAAATTGAAACAATAAACAGTATTTCTATTCTACAGCTAGACAAGTATGGATAGCTATTTATGGGATAGTTATTTATGGGAGGGATGTAATCAAAAACTGGGCTTTTGAGCCCAAATAGAGTAACTTGATTTTTTTAAAGTAATTTGGGTAATAACTAATAATAATAATAATAATAATAATAATAATAATAATAATAATAATAATAATAATATATGTGCTGGGATGAGATAAACAGGAATTTATCCTAAATTTTGTGGTGCTGCAGATGTTCAAGGTGGATACCTCAAACATCTGGATGAGGAATGACTCGAACACCAAATCCTTGGGCAATCCAGTGGTGGAACAAACCACGCAAATAGCGAATATTTCTAATTATTTCACATTATTTTCCCAGCAGATACATTTATTTTCCTGCATTAATTTTCATTAATAATTAACTTGGAGCACTCCCAAGTGTTGGGGCTGCGATTGCAGCAGGAATTTTTGGCTCGGGTGCTGTGGTGAAAGAAGGGATGAGGTGGCCGCAATGTCCCAAATGACATCAGAGCCCCTGGAATTGTGGCTCCGACTGATGTAAAAAAGCTGCAAGGTGGGGACGGGCTGATGTAACAGCTCCTAAAGCAGCTCCTGCAGGGGCCGGGCACATTCCTGAGGATTCCCGGGGATTTTTGGGATTATTCAAGGCCATTCCCGGCTGGAATCCTGCAGGGTGTTGTTCCCAAAGCCAGGAAACCCGGGGGTGTTGGTGGCACTTTGGGCTCAGCTCTGTGAGGGCCCCTGTGGCCCCTCCTGGCTCCGCTCCCGGGGACTTTGGGCACCAGGGAATTCCTTGACCCAAAAATGCTGAATTTTGGAGATCTCCTGGTCCTGTCCTTGCACAAAACCCCCCTGGGACACTGGGAATTGTCCCTCATGGAATGGGATCACCCCAGGGAATTCCTTGACCCTCAAATGCTGAATTTTGGAAATCTCCTGGTCCTATCCCAGCACAAAACACCCCCGGGACACTGGGAATTGTCCCTCATGGAACGGGATCACCCCAGGGAATTCCATGACCCAAAAATGCTGAATTTTGGAGATCTCCTGGTCCTATCCTTGCACAAAAACCCCCCCTGGGACACTGGGAATTGTCCCTCATGGAACGGGATCACCCCAGGGAATTCCATGACCCAAAAATGCTGAATTTTGGAGATCTCCTGGTCCTATCCTTGCACAAAAACCCCCGGGACACTGGGAATTGTCCCTCATGGAACAGGATCACCCCAGGGAATTCCGTGACCCAAAAATGCTGAATTTTGGAGATCTCCTGGTCCTGTCCTTGCACAAAACACCCCCCTGGGACACTGGGAATTGTCCCTCATGGAACGGGATCACCCCAGGGAATTCTTGAGCCAAAAATGCTGAATTTTGGAAATCTCCTGGTCCTGTCCTTGCACAAAACCCCCCCTGGGACACTGGGAATTGTCCCTCATGGAATGGGATCACCCCAGGGAATTCCGTGACCCAAAAATGCTGAATTTTGGAGATCTCCTGGTCCTATCCCAGCACAAAACCCCCCCTGGGACACTGGGAATTGTCCCTCATGGAATAGGATCACTCCAACCCTTCTGGAATTCCAGATTTTCCTGTTTGGAAGCTCCCTGCAGCACCAGCACCCTCCTCGTTGTGCTGATAAATCCTAGGAATGGAGCAGCATTTTTTATTTTATTTGTTTTTTACATTTCCATGGGGTTTTTTCCTGCTTCCAGGAGTATTTGTCCTGGAGCAGAGCTGGTTTGGAGGAGTCAATCCTGATTTTAGAGTAAATCCTGATTTTAGAGTAAATCCTGATTTCAGTTTGTGCCTTTTTATAGCTGAATGCCAAATAAAGTCAAACAGTCCAGCAGGAGCCTAAAATAAGCTGGGTTTAACTCAGACTTAAATCCTTCCTATGACCTTAGGCTAAACCCTGCCAAGTGCACATCCTGAGCCTATCAATTCCTTTATTTACTTAAAATAGCTGCTAAAAGGACTTAAAAGTGACAGGTTTTGTGTATATTTTTAATTTCATTACATCAACTCCACCCCTGGAATTCCAAGAGAGATTGTGACAGTTTTTTTGTGTATATTTTTAATTTCTTATGTGAACTCCACCCCCTGGAATTCAAGGAGGGATTGTGACAGTTTATTTGTGTATATTTTTAATTTCTTATGTGAACTCCACCCCCTAGAATTCCAGGAGGGATTGTGACAGTTTTTATGTCTATATTTTTAATTAATTTCATCACGTGACTCCACCCCTTAGGATTCCAAGAGGGATTGTGACAGTTTTTGTGTGCATATTTAAAATTTCTTCACATAAACTCCACCCCTAGAATTCCAGGAAGAATTGTGAGTTTTGTGTGTATATTTTTAATTTCATTACATGAACTCCACCCCTGGAATTCCAGGAGGGATTGTGACAGTTTTTATGTCTATATTTTTAATTAATTTCATTATGTGAACTCCACCCCTTAGGATTCCAGGAGGAATTGTGAGGGTTTTTTGTGTATATTTTTAATTTCCTTACACAAACTCCACCCTGGAATTCCAGGAGGGATTGTGAGTTTTTTATGTATATTTTTCATTAATATCATTATGTGAACTCCAGGAATTCCAGGAGGGATTGTGAGTTTTTTGTGTGTATATTTTTAATTTCCTTACACGAGCTCCACCCTGGCATTCCAGGACAGAGGGGTTGTGACAGTTTCTGTGTATTTTTACTCAGGATGGGTTGTTCCGGTCACATTGGGATGAGTGTTGGCCCCTGTTCCTCCCTTATCTGTCCCCTGGTGACTCACGGGGCTCTTGACTCAACAAAACCCTTCTGGGGTTTTTTTGGGGTTGTTAGGAAATCCTCAGCAATCCCCCAGTGCCAGCAGCGACCCCAAAATCCCAGCAGGGATCCCACAGTGCCAGCAGGGATCCCAAAATCCCATCAGGGATCCCACAGTTCCAGCAGCGACCCCAGAATCCCAGCAGGGATCTCAAAATCCCATCGGGGATCCCAAAGTTTGAGCAGTGACCCCAGAATCCCAGCAGGGATCTCAAAATCCCATCAGGGATCCCAAAGTTGGAGCAGTGACCCCAAAATCCCATCAGGGATCCCACAGTCCCATCAGGGACCCCACAATCCCATCAGGGATCCCAAAGTTCCATCAGGGATCCCAGAGTCCCAGCAGTGACCCCAGAATCCCAGCAGGGATCCCAAAGTTCCAGCAGTGACCCCAAAATCCCATCAGGGATCCCCCAGTTCCAGCAGGGATCCTGAAGTCCCAGCAGCAGTCCCACACATGCTTTAATCATATTCTGTTTATTTCTATAATATTCTAAAGCCATATTTTACTTATTTCTATCTATTTTTTATGTTTTTATCCATTCTTCAAAGTGACTTTGGGCACTCCCAGGGATGGAGCAGCCACAGCTCCTCTGGGAGTCCCATCCCAGTCAGGAATCCCTTCCCAATCCTCTTGAGAACAAATTCCCAACCCTTTCACCACTCAACAGCTTTGACTCCAAACCCCAAACCCAGCCCTTCAAACATTCATTTGCTGATAATTCCTGCCTGCCCCCCTGTTCTGCAGGTGACATTCCAGGAGGAGGTGACAGAGTATTACATCAGCAGTGAGGAGGATCGCAAGGGCCTCGTAGTTTATTTATTTCTGTAATATTCTAAAGCCATATTTTATTTATTTTTATCTATTTTTTAATGTTTTTATCCACTCTCCTGCCTGACTTTGGGCACACCCAGGATGGAGCAGCCACAGCTCTTCTGCCAATCCCATCCCAGTCAGGAATCCCTTCCAAATACTCCAGAGAAAATATTCCCAACCTTTTCACCACTCAGCAACTCCAACCCAAAGCCACCACTTTGAGCACCCATTTGCTGATAATTCCTGCCTGCCCCCCTGTTTTGCAGGTGACATTCCAGGAGGAGGTGACACAGTATTACATCAGCAGCGAGGAGGACCAGAAAGGGCCTCATAGTTTATTCATTTCTATAATATTTTAAAGCCATATTTTACCTATTTTTTTTATATTTTTTATCCACTCTCCAGCCTGACTTTGGGCACACCCAGGATGGAGCAGCCACAGCTCCTCTGGGAGTCCCATCCCAGTCAGGAATCCCTTCCCAATCATCTTGAGAGCAAATTCCCAACCCTTTCACCACTCAACAGCTTTGACTCCAAAACCCCAAACCCAGCCCTTTGAGCACCCATTTGCTGATAATTCCTGCCTGCCCCCCCTGTTTTGCAGGTGACATTCCAGGAGGAGGTGACAGAGTATTACATCAGCAGTGAGGAGGACCGCAAGGGCCTCATAGTTTATTTATTTCTGTAATATTTTAAAGCCATATTTTACTTATTTTTATCTATTTTTTCTGGTTTTTATCCACTCTCCTGCCTGACTTTGGACACTCCCAGGCATGGAGCAGCCACAGCTCCTCTGGGAGTCCCATCCCAGTCAGGAATCCCTTCCCAATAACCTTCAGAACAAATTCCCAACCCTTTCACCACTCAACAGCTTCAACCCAAACCAGCCCTTTGAGCACCCATTTGCTGAGAACTCCAGCCTGAATCCCTTCTTTTTCAGGTGACATTCCAGGAGGAGGTGACAGAGTATTACATCAGCAGCGAGGAGGATCGCAAGGGGCCCTGGGAGGAGCTGGCCCGGGACGGCTGCAGGTTCCAGCGGCGCATCCAGGAGACCGAGGAGGCCATTGGCCACTGCCTGAGCACGGAGCACAGGCTGAGGGTCCTGCACAGGCTCCAGCAATCCCAGTCCCACAGGACTGAGCCCTTCTAGCACCTCACAACCCCTGACCCTTCCATTCATGGGATCTCGACCGCAAGTGGCAGCTGCATGTGCTGAAACGGGGAGAAAAATGGGATTTGGGGTTTTTTTCCCCTTTGTTTTGTTGTTTTTTTTCCCCCAGTTTGATATTCAACCAATTCTTGGTTTGATATTCAGATAAAAGCCCTGGAGCTCCCTGGAAAAGGTGCTCTAATTGCATTCCTGTTCATTAGCACTTGATACACACAACCAGACTGCTTGGGGTTCAATCCATTCCCTAAAAATGCCTTTTCCTGCCATACCTTGGGAAGTGTGGGGACTCTTCCGTTGGATTTTTGCACTTTGGAAAAAACAAAAAACAAAAAAAACAAAGCAAAACCTATTTTGAAGGAAATATTTATGGGGTTCATTCCCTAGAATTGCAGTTTTGATTTCAAATTCCCTGTGGGATGTGCAGGTCAGGGTTTTGTTGTTTTGTTTTTTTATTTTTGTGTTTCTCCATTTTTTCCAGCTTCTCCAAAAGCCTCGTTTTTCCTTCCTTTAAGGGATTTTTTTCCCATTTTTTTTTGTTTGTTTGGAATAATCCAATGTTTGAGTGTTTCTGGAGCTTTTTGAGGTTTGAATATTCCAGCCAAGCTTTGGTTTGATTGATTTCAATCATTCCCTTTGCCAGGATTATTCCAAAGGGTTCTGGCTGCTTGGCCAACAAATTCCTTGGGTTTTTTAGAGCAAGGAAATTCCTCATCCCAATTAATAATTAAAACTCCATGAGGGCTGTGGATGATGCTTGAATTTAGGGAGCAAAATTCCTGAATTATTGAATTAATCTTTGCTGTAATTCTGCTTTGGGAGAGGGATTGAAGTGAGTTTTTATATCCAATCTGCTTGTCCTGATAATTTTCTTGGATTTAAGGAAATTATCTTGGATTTAAAGAAAATGTCAAGACAAAAATTCCTTGTTTTCTTTCCCAAAAATCAGTATTAACTCTTTGTTTCTGCACTGGGGTCATCAGAAACATTTCAGTGAGAGGACAAAACTCTTTATTTATATTCTTAATTTAAAATCTTACATTATTTAATCCAAATCCTTGAGGGGAAAAGAGCTTTGGAGCTGGAGCTTGGTGTGGGAATTTTCCAAGCAGGGAAAATAAAAATGGAAAAATTCCAATGTTTGCACAAAGTTGGGTCAATAAATCAATTATTTGTTCAGCTGGCCAGAATAATTTCCATTTTGTAGAAGAAAAACCTTAAAGTGCTTTAAATTTATCCTTAATTCCTTCAGTTTTTAACTTGGGAGAAAATTATTACTTCCTGCTTTATCCTGACTTGAAAATCCCAGAATTTTTGGATTTATCCTTTATTTTTATTGCAGGAAGTGGTTTCTTTGAGTTGGAAAATCCTCTTTTTGTGATGCAATAAGAAAATTTAGGGGATTAATTAAATTTAGGGGATGAATTAAATTACAGCTGCGTTAATTCAAATTCCAACTGTTTGCCATCCCAAAAATTTGATTTTTTTTCCTCAAAACAAAAAAAAAATTTGCATCATTCCCTCAAATCCTGAAAAATCCATTTGGAATTTTTGGAGGATTTTACTCACATTGGATTTTGCTTTTTAAATTCAGGAGGGGGCAAACCAACCAAAAAAAAACCCCAAAAAAATGGAATTCCAAGAAGAAAAAAGTGTGGATTTCTGATCATTCCAAGGAAAACACACAACGTGAATTTTTCCATGGATCTCCCAGTTGGTTTTTCCCTTGGATCTCCCAATCCCTGAGATTTTTGGGATTTTTTGGGATTTTTTTGGGATTGTGGTGCTTCAGTTCTTTCTGGACAACTCGGATTTCTTGGTGCTCAGGAGAAACCTTGGGAATGCTGGGAATCCAGAACTGCTTGGAAAAATGGGATCTCAAGAAGGACAAAAGCTGCTTCCAAAGGGTTCAAACCTTGGAAAAAAATGAGATTTTTTTTTAAAAAAATCAGAATTCCCATGAATGAATTTTCCCCATTTCTCCAACCTCCTTTTATTCCAGCTGTTCCAGCAGAAAATGGAATTTAATTAGCACCAAACCCATCCCTGAACACCTCAGAGCTCCCTTTTTTCCCTTCTAAAATTCCTTAAAATATATGAGAAGCAAAACTTGGAGGGAATTAAATCAAAACTGTGATCTGCAGATTTTTATTTTTGTATCATTTTGGGGGGGAAAAGTTTGGATTTGGCTTTCTATGGATTTTCTTTTGATTTGTGGCCGCTTTGGTGGGGTTTTTTCTACCTAAAAATTCTATTTCTGTACATAAGAAACGATTCAGGACTAATCTGTGTGTTGTAATAAAGAGATTTGCAAGATACATTTGGGGAAAAACAGCTGGAAAATCCAATTTTGGGTTGGATTTCTGGGGTGGTGTTTGTCATTCCTTGGGGTTTTAGGGCAGGGAATTCCATCCAAGGGGGCTCCTCTGAAGCTGGAATTCCTGACAGGAGCTGGGAAATGATCCCAAAATCAGGGCTGGAGGAATAAAACTGCGTTTTCCCAGGGATTCTCAAGGAATGGGATGAAGAATTTTTGGGATTTTACCAAAATCCTGCTGCCAGCTCCCTTTGGAGGTGACACCCTCAAGGGTTCTGCTCCACCTCTGGGAATCTCTGGAATTCTCAGGGAGTTTTGGGAAGAAATTTCCAAATTCTTGGAGGTTTATTCCTTAAAAAACACCAAAAATTCACTCAGAATTCCCACCTTGGAGCCCAATCTGTGTTTTCCTCTCTTTGTTTTCACTTTATTCATCCCTAAAACAACCCCAAGGTTGATTTTCCTGATGATCAGGATTAAAAAAAACTGCTGGAATAAAGAAATAAACTGGGAATTTCCTGCACTATTCCTGAAAATAAAAAATAAGGTGGGAATGGGGGATGTGAGGGAGGAGGTTTAAAGCAGATTTTTTAAAATTCTGAAGAGTTAAAATCAGCTTTAAAATGGAAATTGGGATTTCTCCCTGCTGGAAACGGCACAGTCGGGCTGCAGGCAGCAAATGCAGCTGGAGCACACAAATCCCACTGGGAATTCTTCATCTGCACTTGGAGGGGAACAATTCCTGCCCCAGAGCTGCAGCTTCTCCACAGGACTGAAGAATTCAATTGTTGGAGCCCCTGAGCTGCTGCTTTGATCCCAAAATTCAGGATTTTCCTGGAGCTGGGAAGCAGGAGAAGGAGGAAAGGTGGGGTTTGGTCACATTCCAGCCCCGCTGAGGTTTAACCCAAGGTTTATTCTGGTTTTTTTGGAGGGGATAAAGGGATTTAAATTAGGAATAAAGGATTGGAGCTGTCCTCAGGATAAAAACTCTCTGCCTGCTTTCCCCTTGGATGGGCGCTGCTTTCCTGGTCTGGGGTTTTGGGATGGCAGAAACAGCAAAGATCCCCCAGTCCCACCCCTTTTAAACAGCAAAGATCCCCCAGGCCCACCCCTTTTTCCTGTCCCAAAGCGCTCCAGGCTGGCCTGGACACCCCCAGGGAGGGACAGCTCAGGGATTCTCTGGGAATTCCTCCAAAAATCCCATCTGAGCCTCTGGGAAATCCAGGAAAACATCAGGACGTGGGAATGTGCCCCTGGAGGAGGAGCTCGCTCCTTCCTTCCTTCCTTCCTTCCTTCCTTCCTTCCTTCCTTCCTTCCTTCCTTCCTTCCTTCCTTCCTTCCGCCACTTCCGCCACTTCCGCCACTTCCGCCACTTCCGCCACTTCCGCCACTTCCGCCACTTCCGCCACTTCCGCCACTTCCTTCCTTCCGCCACTTCCTTCCTTCCGCCACTTCCTTCCGCCACTTCCTTCCGCCACTTCCTTCCTTCCTTCCGCCACTTCCTTCCGCCACTTCCTTCCTTCCGCCACTTCCTTCCGCCACTTCCTTCCTTCCGCCACTTCCTTCCGCCACTTCCTTCCTTCCGCCACTTCCTTCCTTCCGCCACTTCCTTCCTTCCGCCACTTCCTTCCTTCCTTCCTTCCTTCCGCCACTTCCTTCCTTCCTTCCTTCCTTCCGCCACTTCCTTCCTTCCTTCCTTCCGCCACTTCCTTCCTTCCGCCACTTCCTTCCGCCACTTCCTTCCGCCACTTCCTTCCTTCCTTCCGCCACTTCCTTCCGCCACTTCCTTCCTTCCGCCACTTCCTTCCGCCACTTCCTTCCTTCCGCCACTTCCTTCCGCCACTTCCTTCCTTCCGCCACTTCCTTCCTTCCTTCCTTCCTTCCTTCCTTCCTTCCTTCCTTCCTTCCTTCCTTCCTTCCTTCCTTCCTTCCTTCCTTCCTTCCTTCCTTCCTTCCTTCCGCCACTTCCTTCCTTCCTTCCGCCACTTCCTTCCGCCACTTCCTTCCGCCACTTCCTTCCTTCCTTCCTTCCGCCACTTCCTTCCTTCCGCCACTTCCTTCCTTCCGCCACTTCCTTCCTTCCTTCCGCCACTTCCTTCCGCCACTTCCTTCCGCCACTTCCTTCCGCCACTTCCTTCCTTCCTTCCTTCCTTCCTTCCTTCCTTCCTTCCTTCCTTCCTTCCTTCCTTCCTTCCTTCCTTCCTTCCTTCCTTCCTCTCCTTCCTCTCCTTCCTTCCTTCCTTCCTTCCTTCCCCATCATTTTTCCTTTCCTATCATTTTTCCATCCCCACAAAGGCTCCCCAGGGTCATTGACTCCATGCCAGCTGTGCCCTCTCTGCATTCCAGCCACATCCCCTGGCTCTGCAACATTGGGAATTTGGCACCTGGGCCCAGCTCTCTCTTTGTGCCCAGCAGAACATTTGGGTTCAGCTCCTCTCCCTGGGATAATTTAGGTTGCATTCCCAGCTGGCAAAGAGGGAAAAGCAGCTCCAGGTGGAAAACATTCCCAGAGCTGCAAGGAAGTTTTGTTGGCATGGCCCCACACCAGATTCCAGGAACTCAGGGCTTGGATGGAGCCCCCAGGGGGATGTTCTGGGGTGGGTGAACAGAGATTCATCATCATCATCCTCCTCCTCCTCCCTGTGTGTCCAGCCCAGCATTCCCAGCAGGAATGGCCCAGGGAGCAGCACCAGCAGCGTTCCCTGGCACCGGCCCCCAGAGCAGCAGGGATTTACAGCCAGGTGTAAAGAACAGGAGGCAATTCCAGCTCCTCCTCAGCACCTCCCGTTCCCCTGGGCTGATCCCCGAGTTCTGCTCCAGCTGGGAATGCCAGGAGGAGCCACAAGGATTATTGTGGCTGTGGTGTTCCCAGCCTGGCACCTTGGAGCAGGGGGGAGTGCCAGGGACACACCTGGAGCGCCAGGGACACACCTGGAGCGCCAGGGACACACCTGGAGCACCAGGGACACCCCTGCAATGCCAGGGACACACCTGCAGTGCCAGGGAAACACCTGGAGCGCCAGGGACGCACCTGGAGCACCAGGGACACATCTGGAATGCCAGGGACACACCTGCAGTGCCAGGGACACACCTGGAGCACCAGGGACACCCCTGCAATGCCAGGGACACACCTGCAGTGCCAGGGAAACACCTGGAGTGCCAGGAACACACCTGGAGTGCCAGGGACACACCTGGAATGCCAGGGACACACCTGGAGCACCAGGGACACATCTGGAATGCCAGGGATGCACCTGCAGTGCCAGGGACACACCTGGAGCACCAGGGACACACCTGGAATGCCAGGGACACACCTGGAGCACCAGGGACACACCTGGAGTGCCAGGGATGCACCTGCAGTGCCAGGGAAACACCTGGAATGCCAGGGAGCACCTGGAGCACCAGGGACACCCCTGCAGTGCCAGGGACACGCTGGTGAGGACGCCCTGGCACAGAATTCCCACAGAATCCGGGGCTGCTCCATCCCTGGAAGTGTCCAAGGGACACTTGGAGCGCCCTGGGACAGCGGGATTTGTCCCTTCCTTCCCTAAATCCTTAAATCCTCCCCACCCCAAGCGCTCCACGGTTCCACTCGAGGAGGGGACATCGCTTGGGGACAGTGGCAGCACCGCGTCCCTCGCTCTCAGCCGCATTCCCGGCTTTTTTTTCTTCCCGGGAATCTTTTGTCCAGGAGGTGGTGCCAGAACCGTTCGGGACGCGCCGGCAGCGCCGCCGCCCCCTCTGAGGCTGTCCCCAAGGTGCCACCGCCTCCTCTGAAGGTGTCACCGCCTCTGAGGCTGTCCCCAAGGTGCCACCGCCCCCTCTGAGGCTGTCCCCAAGGTGCCACCGCCTCCTCTGAGGCTGTCCCCAAGGTGCCACCGCCTCCTCTGAGGCTGTCCCCCAGGTGCCACCGCCCCCTCTGAGGCTGTCCCCAAGGTGCCACCGCCCCCTCCATCCTCTGGATGAGTTTTGGGACAGGAAAATCCAGGGCGGGAGCAACAGCCGCCCCTTAGCGCGGAGCAGCGCCCGGTTCTGTGACATTCCTGGTGCCTGAGCCACGGGAGCCAGCAGGAAACGTCCCCAACCGGGCTTTGTGTCACCCAGCAGGGTCACCGCGGGCTCGGTGTCCTCCCTGCCGGGGTGACAGCGCTGTCACCTCATCACACATCCCTTCTGGAGCTGCTCCCCTCCCTTTGTTCCCTGGTCCCAGCGTGGTTTGGGGGCTTGGAATGGTGTGGAGGAGGAGGAGGAGGTGGCAGCTGGTGGCTTCTCTGTGGGGACATCGGTGCTGGGAAGGGAAGGGAAGGGAAGGGAAGGGAAGGGAAAGGAAAGGAAAGGAAAGGAAAGGAAAGGAAAGGAAAGGAAAGGAAAGGAAAGGAAAGGAAAGGAAAGGAAAGGAAAGGAAAGGAAAGGAAAGGAAAGGAAAGGAAAGGAAAGGAAAGGAGAAAGGAAAGGAAAAGAAAAAGGAAAGGAGAAAGGAAAAAGAAAGGAGAAAGGAAAATCCTCATCCCCCAAACCAGCATGCCTGTCCAAGGCCATGGATCTTCCTGCAGGACACATTCCCTCTCATCCCACTGTCCCCTTCCTCTTCCTGGTGTCCCCAAGGCTTTTGTTATCCCAGGAAAAGGCAGCAAATCCGCCTGGTTTGGGAGGGGATGGAATTTGGGCACCCTGGGAGTCACCACAACCCTGGACCAGCCCTGGCCTGAGCTCCTGATTTATTTCCCTCAATCCCAGATCCTTCCACTTCTCTGTCTTGCTCCTTCTTTGGGGGAAATTGGGGGATTTGGGGCACAGTCATGGATGGATGGGGAGGGTGGGAGTCAGGGATTCGTGCTGGGAACGTGGCAGAGTCACCCAAAGGGACGGATCCCTGTGGATAACACTGGATATCCACCCCTGGAAGTGTCCCAGGACAGAGCTTGGATTAACCTGGGATAAGGAAAGTGTCCCTGCCCTTGGCACTGGATGAGCTTTAAGGTCTCTCCCAAGCCAAACCAGTCT